CTTAGGTCCCCCATCACAGTACTAACCAGGCCCTGTCCTGCTTCGCTTCAGAGGTCTGACAGGATCTGGATTTCGCATGCAGGTGTGGTCATAAGTGCATGAGTCTGTTGGGGTTGGAGCAAAAAACCTAGTGCATCTTTAAATAACTGTAAGAACGCTTTCAAGAAGAAGAAGAAGAGGGAGGAGAAGAAGGAGAAGAAGAACAAGGAGAAGAAGGAGAAGAAGGAGGAGAAGAAGGAGAAGCAGAAGTAGAAAGAGCAGCAGAAGAAGAAGAAGAAGAAGGAGGCAAAGAAGAGGGACGAGATGAACAAGAAGAAGAAGAAGAGGGAGGAGAAGAAGGGAGAAGAAGAAGAAGAAAGAGCAGAAGAGAAGAACAAGAAGAAGAAGAAGAAAGAGCAGAGGAAGGAGGAGGCGAAGAGGAAGAAGAGGGAGAGGAGGAAAAGACGAAGAAGAAGAAGGAGGCACAGAGGAAGAAGCAGCGGCAGCTCTCACGAGGCTGAATACATTGCCCACAGTGAGATTTCGGTGTCAGAAGCTTTTAATTGCCTTGTAGCTTTCCCCAAATTGAGTTCTGCTGCAGGCCGCTGGAGCAGAAAAGCTCTTCAGTGTCTGTGATGTGTGGAGCTGGAGAAGAGCACGCCGTCCCACTGCTGATGGATGGAACCTGCTTTAGAATAAATAAATAAGGCCAATGGTAATCCCTGCCACCACAGCCACGGGCCGCTCCATCTGGAAGTGACGGGACAGTGAAAGAGGTGAGGCTCAGCGCGCACACACACACACAACACTCTGCATTTGTTCAACACACACACAGGCGCAGACACACACACTGCCAACTTTGAACGGAGCAGAGTGCAAAGGCTATTGATGGAATTTATCACATGGTTGTGTTTGGAATACTGAAGAAAATCACAGTTTAGGAGCTGTGTTTTTGTTCTTTTCCCCAGTACTTCTCAGGGTTATAGCTTCCTTTGTTCCGTCTTAAGCTGTTTTAAGTAAATAAATAAGAAAATAGTGCAATCATATACAACGTGCAATACTGCAACATTGACATTTCCCCACTGTGAGATGAATAAAGGATGTCTTATCTTATCTTTTCACTACCACCATTTTTAATTTCATAATCTGACATATGTAGAAAGGATTCACACTCGGATTATAACAAAACGCACAAGTAGTAGTAGTGCATTCATAATAAAAACATACATTTTTTTGGAATTAAATTTAAGCTACGGTAATTGTTGATCAAATTAGCTGTTTGGTACCACTCCAACAAGACATTCGTTTTAGATTTCAGTTTCTTAATCTGTTTTGTAATGGTGGAAATGTCAATGGTGCGATGCAACACTGACATTTCCCCTCGGAGAGACGAATAAAGGTTCTTATGTCATTATTTAAAAAGTTCATTCTTCACTGTGGTTGAATGTGATACCCATTTCAAAACATAATCCCTGTTTTTTTGTGTTTTATGACAAACCTGGCTATCTTACTGCTTTAGAACGAAGACAAATTGACAACATAGAAAGATGTTGTCGAAACCACTTACTGTAATTCCAGTAGTGACCAGGAGGTGGCGTCTCTCTCTAAAAGGTCACCTGTCACAATCTTCACTGTTATTCTGGGTGATGCTGCACCTGTGCACTTTTGCTCTGTGCACATGTCTGAGCTGCCATGAAGCCCTGGGTTGTTGCTGCTCTTCAAAGCCATAGACTTCTATAGATGGACAGTGCAAATCCATTTTAATGAAGCCTAATAGGGAAGTGCTCATGGGCATAGTTTTACCTCCAACTCACTTTGGTTATATCCACTTGCATTGAAAAGTTCATTTCTTTAGCTCTGTAACTGTCTGTGTCACGTTCGCCATTTTCGTTTTCCTGATGTCTTTGAAAATCCAGATATGTCCCTGAACAAAGAATGGCATTAACTTGCGAGAGGGAAAGGACAAGGACAGCTCCTACTTGTCTTCTGATTGGTTGCTACGCTGTTGCTACTGACGTCATTTGGCGCTTGATTCCCGCTCAAAGACTTAGCCCTAATCGTCTTCATCCACATTCGACATAAAATAATATCGAGGACGTCTCGGTTAGACCACTCCTTCTACAATCAATGTGTTGTGACCAAAAAAACTCACATTGGTCACTGTGTCAGCCTGGACCTAAGCTTCTGATGTATGTTCAAACTTACAAATATACAGTAATATGGTCATTTAATGCAGTGTTCCCCAACCTCTTTGAACCATGGCACACCTTTGTCATTGAGAACCATCACAGGGCACACCACCAGCTGAAACTGATACAAAACTTGAAAGTCTCAGATTCATTTTATTTGCCATTTGCAGTAAAACCACATTGGAAAAACTGTGCAAGACTACCCCAATGTGTACCAGACAGAGAAGACGGCACACACCAGAGCTCTTGCCGCGGCGTCAACTCTGGAGCCTTTATGTATTATATAGAAAATCCAACAAGAGCGAAATGGTCTTTCTAATCTTCTCACATCATAAACCTTTCCCCACATTTTGACCAATTCGTACAATAAATGATATTGGGTAATTTCCAAAGGCACACCACCCAACATCTCAAAGCACACTAAGTTGCTGTGGCACACTGGTTGAAAAATTAGATTTAATAAATAATTGTTCCACAGGAGACATCAGACAAGACAAGATGCTACAGAACCCTTAATCACCAGAAACAAAATGCAATACAGACAAGCAGTACAGCACAGTCAGGCTATCTCCACTCTCTGAGGTGCGCCCCCCACTGGATATTTAAGGCAGTGCACCAAAACCAAAACGTTCCATACCACAAAAATACATAAATACAGCCATGTAATAGTATCACTTATAAATAGACCAAATGATAAGACAGTAGTAAACAACAAAATGATGTCTAAAGCACATGTGTGGAAGGAGCACAGATAGATTGGGCGTGTGTGAGTTCCCCCCTGATGGTCCTGTGGCTGGGTCATGCCATGTCTCACATCACGCCCTAATAAGCACGGAGGAATGTTGAACCGGTAAAGATAGCAGCGTGTGGTACCTCATCCATGTGGAAAGAAATAATTTTATTGACAGAAAATATGATATTGATAACCGAGTGACCTGCTAATGAAGTGACTCGGTTTCTGGTTCATTTTCTTCTGCTGTAAATGTATGGATGGATTTTATGTGAATGAAGGTGTAGCTCAGTTTAAAATAATGAAATGATTTTGATAAGACTCATGAGCCTCTTCCAATAAGGCTCATGAGTGATATTAGTTTGTCATTATTCAAGTCTTTAGCCCGAAATATGTGAATATGTTATTAATAATCACCTCTATTGTTAAAATCTGGAGTTGCAGACAGGACATAGGCTCTATATTTTCCTAAGTTACAGTTATTTGATTATGATGATCTTGTCTGCTAACTAATTCCTATTTTATCGTCTTTATTTTGTGAATGTTGCTCGATGGCAGTAGTGTGTTTTACAGCAGGAGTTTGTATGTTCATGTTCTGAATGTCCAATGTTTAATGGTTTTGTGACACTGCCATTTTTTCATATGCGAATCTGCTAATAAGACCTATTCAAGCAATGTGACTGAAGAATCAAGATAAGATTAAGAAATCCTTTATTTGTCCCATTTCAGTTTCTCTATGTATTTAAGATAAGGCTGCATGGACTGAGACACGTTGGAGAAACCACATAGGAGTGAGGTCTGCAGATATACAGAGGTCTCCAGTGCCTTGTACACACAGAGAGAGAGAGAGAAACGGCGAAAGACAAGGTGTAGGCTTGTTTCACTGAGGCGTTGAAAGCAGACATTATGCAGTGGTCAGAGGAGCCAGGCCTTAGTGCACGCAGTCCCAGTCAGTGATCTCGATTTATTGAACATTATTTGGTGCCTCTTTCAGCCTCACTGGGTGCAAAAGTGCAGATGGACTTGCAAATGTAGGAATCGTTTGAATCATTCAAGTACATGCTAATGAACAGAGTTATGTTTCTTCAGATGTAAAATGGAACTTCACTTAAACTTAAACTATTCACCTCTCAGTCTCATAAACTTGTTTCGATGATTGTTCATGTGTGCGAGTGATTTCATGAGCCTGAAATACAGAATGTGAATATATGTAAACACCCTGTGATGCCCCGCCCCCTGCTGCTCCAGGTCTTAAGCTTAAAATGCGGTAAATGTATGTGTAACACTTACGAGGAGTAGTACAGGGAAAGGGCTGTATAGTATATACTAGCATACAACACAGTAGTAGGGTTATCTTCTATGGACCAGATCAGAAACCTAGACTCGGCTACAGGAGGAGTGAAATAAACCTTAAATCAATAAGAGACCACAGACCAGTGAGTAAAGTTAACTGCCGGCTTATTATTTAAACAAAATAGACAAAAGACAATGACATACATTAAACATTAAACGTTGAGAAATCCTTTTCCGTTAAACCTTTTAGTTTACTTTTAAAAGATTTAATTTATTTTAGGTTATATCAATATATGGCTACTATTGATGTTGGTTCTTTGTAGTAGTAGGTTGCAACCTTTAGTTCTTTTTATTTTCAATTCAAGTTATTTCGTTACTTGAGTTAACTCTGTTTTGAAGTTTAGTTCTATTCTGTTTCAAGTTCTTTTATAGTAATAGGTACCTTTTGTTGTTTACAACCAAACAGTAACATTAATACTGTTATAATACAGTACTTGTGTATGGTCAATAAAATAAAATATTCAAAACTTCACAAAACTCAAAATATTCAGCAAAAGACTGAACAATCTGTATACCACAGAAAGTCTTTGGATTAGCAGTCCAATGTTGTTTATCCTGAATCCTCTAGTCTCGGTGGAGTGGATAGGTCCTACCAGTTCAGATGTAAACCATGCAACGTCCAGTAGATGGCAAATCCTGACTCACGCACAATTCACACAAGGTCCAATGGGTGGCTCGCCATCATGGATCCAGCACGAGTCAAATCTTCAAATCCAGAGTTTGTCTAATCGACAATTCTTCATCCCAACTTAAGTTGGCCTAACGTAAACAACATAAAATAAGTAAAGACACTTAAAATAAAACGCTAGGTAAGTCTAAAACTAAGAAAATGTACATTTCCGATCCTAAACCATGCTCGTTAAAATGGCGCCAACATGGCGGACAAGAAAAACAGACGGAGCATTGACCTGCAAAGTCAACGCTTGGATTGGCTTAAAATATACCAAACATTTACCCTTTAACAGCTTAAATTAAATACCTTAGCTTTCTGTTTTTCATAAAACAACAATTACTTTGTACAAATATAGTTTACAGAAAAGAAAATACATGGTTTCCACTCACCAAGTCCCGTTAATCCAAGTACACAAACCTCCGAGACCACGACTTGGTTGGAAAACCGTCAATACCTTTGTAAAAGTTTTAAATAACTCTTAGATAACTTTACACTTGTTGCTTTACAAAAAAAATAAATATATTTCTCGAAACTCACCGAGTCCTGTTGCGTGGCAAGACACCAGGACAGGTCGGAAAACAAAAATACCTTCTTCGAAGTACAAAAAGGACTTCTAGGTTGGTTTAGACTCGTTTTCTGCGCTTATTCCTCTGCTATTTTCACTGCAGTACTTTGCGTGTTTCTCTGCATCTACCTGTTTAGCATTGGGGAACTTTCTGAGTAATCTGATTGGCTGTTGTTTGGTGCAGGGGCGTCACAACAACATGCCCTTCAAAATAAAAGTCTACATGGGTCTCAACCAATTAAAAATGTAATTAATAATAATTTTGCATGTTTTACATGTTTTTAACTAAATTAATATACAGAAAAAGTAAATATAACTTTTTAGACGTTTTTAGATACATTTCACCATATGAACTTATTTATTGGCTTTTTACATTCAAAGTATTTATTGCTGTTTTTATTAACATGCTTTTACTCTGGTAGCTCTGTTAACCTCTGGGTTACATATGCACCTGTTTTGCATTGCCATGGGTGTGGGCCATGTGCTGCATGCTTCAGGTGAAAAAATATCTTAAAAGGAAATAAAGTAAAGAACTTGTTTTGCTCAGTGTTGGCCAACTTGTTTTATGGCAATGGACCGACTAAGGGCCTGGGTAATCATGGAGTTATGGGTGTATGTTTGTATTCTATTTTATTTTCTATTTATACTATGCATTATTATACTAGAAATATGTGTATTTTTTGTGTCTTAACTGTTGATTCTCTGATCTGTTTTGGTGATTTCAATGGTTTTAAGTCCTCTGAGTTGACTGCTGTTGTGATTTAGGGCTAAACAAGAATAAATTGTATTGTACCAACCAGTGTGTAACTTGCTTTACAGTTTACCAGCACGGTGGTGTTGTGTTTTAGTGTTTGCTGTATGTTTTATTTATTTAATTACCTAGGCTTTCAATCCTTAATTATTCATGATTTATTTATATTCTTTTTAAGCCAGTAAAAAACCTGTACTTATCCTATGCCTTCTGTGCGGTTATATAAACCATACAGCTCATACGGTTGCTTATACATTTCACGTCTGCTTTCACAGCCTTCACATTAGATTCTCCTTTTAGTCCCACTTGATGCTAACCTTCTCCCGTCTCCTTTTGGCCTTGTAACACTCTCATCAAGTGCTCCTACTTTTAAGTCCCGGCTCTGACGTCAATGCACAGACAGAACTACAGAAGACGACAGAAGTTTCAATTAGAAAAGTCAGATTTGAGATTTGAGAGCCACTTAGGTGTTAATGGAACCGGGGATGGCGTAAAACTATAAATGTCATCAGTGGAGCTGGAGAAATATGGCAATTAAATTGGGCTGCAATTGTGAGATCCAAAAACGAGGCCATTCATTTAGATTAAATAAGAGATGGGGTTTTGGTCGACATGATGTATGACTTCACAGGGTGTTTATTATTCATATTGTTCAGTTTAATATTGATCCAACACATAAAATAGAGCATAACTGTCTTCGGTATTGATAATTTGTTTCCCCCCTCTTTGTAATGGGCCCCACACTGTCACACACTGTTGTTACCATCACGTTTATCAATTATTTAAGCACTATGCCTCAGCTATGATTGTTAAGCAGATAGAATTAGTGTATTATTCACTAAGTATGTAGAGCTACTTCAACAAACTTGCAATTGATCAATCTTTCAACGAATCGTATCTTTTTTGTGTAACTATTGTAGCTGTTTTTCCCCAACAGAAATAGGCATGGAAAGTATAGTTAGAAAACCTTATATTTGATGCTTTGGGCTAAAGGAGAAATGGTTGAGTGAGGGTGGTCATCTCTTATTCACAAAAATCCATATATATTGGAGAGGCCCTTAAATACATGCATGTGAAAACTAGTGATAGGACTAGAACTAGACATGGACTTTACTGCACATGTTCTGGGGTTTGAAAGTCCGGTACACTAGCTTTTGTTTGTGGAAGTACCAGCATGATTTTGATATTGCTCATAGAAAAACATGTTGGGAAGCTGAGAATTTCCTTGTTCACAGAAAGGATGTGATCAAATGAGCAGTTCAAGTTTTAATGTGGATAAGATAAGAGAACTTTTATTCCTTCCACTGCGGGGAATTCCAGAGGAAATAGTAAGCACTCAAACAAGTGAAAGAACTTCAAAAATATGTAAACCACTCAAATCTGTATCCCTGTAGAACCCAGACATAAAATTATTTGTTGAAAAAAATGGATATGGATAAGAAATTTAAAAAAGCATTAAATGACCAAAGTTGGCACTGTAGCATATTTAGTATAATGTAGCTAAGTTCTTGGGTGCATAAATTAGTTAATGCTTTAAACCAAAAAGTTATTTTGCCATAATCTTTGAACTTTATGTTGCATATTTGAAATATAAGGGTTGCCACAGCCTTAAATGTTCTGCAGCTGAATTATTGGAAATATACATCCAGACTATACCATATAACAAGATGAAAGTACCCAACGTTTTAGTAAGAAGGCCACTTTACTAATAATGCATCGGTTTTATATAGCGCTTTTTTGGACACTCAAAGACGCTTATTCATTTACTCCATGCACAGTGGTGATAAACTACTACTGTAGCCCCTCCTACCACCACCAATCATTCACACCAGACTCATTCTAGGCAATGGGGGTAAAGTGTCTTGCCTAGGGACACAATGGCAGTTTGGCACTTTACAGCCGCCCCACTGTGGCATCAGGTGTTCCCAGAGGTTAAGTGTCTTGCCAAGAACACAACAACAGCAGACAGTGGGAGTCGATGGTGAAAGTTGGGCTCGAACCCACGACCTTCTGGCTCAAAGGCCTATGCTCTACCAACTGAGCTACTGTCGCACTTTAGTTAATCAGACTAGTCCAGGGGCCGACAACATGGACTGTAAAACACTTGACTGGATTTGGGTTCAGCTTTATGATGGCTTTAAAAAGTTTTGAGCTTTAGAATGGGTGAATGATGTGCCCACATTGAATCACACCACAGCGCCATATATGGACTTTGGACTTTTGTGACACAACTAAAAACAAATACCAGGATATACAAATAAAATCGATGACTGTTTTCCAAAAGTTCAGAGCTTTACAAGAAGGTATAACATGACAATATTGGTTGAGCAGAAGTTGGCTGGATGACACTGCAAAAGTACCTCAATGGCTGCTTTGTGTTAGCAGTAGAGGGCCACATAAAATGACATAGCAGGCCGCTTTTAGCCCATGGGTCGAAGTTTGGACATGCCAGCCCAACGGTTAGCAGTAGCAGCTATAACGGTGGGAGATGGACTGGGTAAAGAATGTTCTGGGTTGGTGCATATGGACATTAGATATAAATATCAGTTCCATCTGTATCTACCATTAAATGTTGTTGAATTGGAGAATTTGAGTTATAAACAAAACCAATTTGTTATGACTGTCTTTTATAAGGTCAGAGGTGTTGGGATGGGATCAGGAGGTAGGTGAGGTCAGGTCCAGTCTGATCCTGTTATTATGAGGCTTGTATAAAGTTGAGATCTATAGATTTAGTAAATGATCTGGAGGTGGTTGGTGAGAGAGCCGAGGATTGTGTGTGGAGACCCCTCTAGGCAACAACAAAAAGTAAGAGAAGATAAACTACACGAAACTCTTTCATTTAATGAGAACTCAGAAAAGCGGCAGCCATATTGGATTTGGCATCGTGTTCCCAAAATACATCAATGACCTTTTGGAGTGAGAAGCGCCGTCACGGCTCATTCACAAAGATGGCTCTTAATGATGTAAATTCAGTCGGCGTTCAACACCTGAGGTATCCAGCTTCCAACCTGCCATTTCAGATCACAGACGAAGTGTGGAAGTTTCTGGAAGAACATTTAACCAAAACATCTTGACAAGCGTTCAACATACTTACCTGTAGCTATAGTTTCTCTGTCTTTTCTAAGCCAAACTCGTGCGACAAAGAGAGAGCTCATACCTTCAGTTCATCAGAAACATTAAAGGGGACATAACATGCAATACCAACTTTGTGTATACAGTATGTTTCCCCGTCATATACACATTCAAAGTCGTTTTTGCCCATTTGTCAGATGTGCATGATCCAACAGTTGTGCAGTCATTTTATTGCACAACGTGGTATTCCAAGAGTATTTGGTGGTATATGAGGTATTGAGAGTGAGAAACTATAGTTAGGTTCCCCAGCTTTAAGACATAGTTGGGTTTGTAGTTCTGTAAGTTCCAATAAACATACAATGGTAGCAAAACATTGCCTCAACAATCCGGGGACCATTCGTCATAAACAAGTAGCAAGACATGCCAAGGCGGCATTAAAGTAAATCTCGAAATCTACAGTTAAGATGGGAGCCAATCCAATCCACTTAATAAATGTAGCACATAAAAAATAAAAAAAAATTCCAAAGTGCTGCACAAGGACAAAAGTAACACATTCAGATATACTGCCAGGTTAGCCAGATTTATATGTATCTAAAAATAGAATATAAATGGAAAAATATGTATGAAGTAATAACAATAAAATAGCATTTATATCTACACGAATAAAAGTAACAATAGAACAATACAATTAATACATATCAGCCGACCACACACCTCTGTTATTTATTTATTTAGACCAGAGGGAGCTGGCCTATACATAGCTGTGGTCTAGTCATATAGAAATCCCTGTTTCCATTTAAATCAGTGCTGATGTAAGGGTATATTTTTCACCTAAAAATCACTCTGCAGTACTGTATACCTCAGAGCGGGAACGAGCGACGTCAACACAGAGAGACCTTGAAGTTGGAGTATTGAGGTCAGAGGACGTGCAAAAGTGAAGAAAACTCTTTTATGGAGTGATCGATTTTGCGGCAAACCAATAACAAAAGAGCCTTTAAAATGCATTGGTGCTACTGCTGTTTTTCAGGGACTGGCTTTTGGCTAAACATTCAATCCAATGTATTTCTGTATAGCCCTAAATCACAACAGTAGTTATTTTGTGGGACTATACCAGTTCAGACACAGAAAATGCAAATAAAAAAGCAGCATTACTATTGAAACTACACATCATCAGTAGGAAAAAAATAGTCTAATCCCACCTCACGTTCTCTACAGTATTAGTTGGTCAAATGTGCATGAATAATTTTAAATGTCTTGGAGCGTTACCATTGTTCTATAGACCCTCCTGCATCTGCAAGGAACAACTCAAAAAACCCCGTTGAGAAAAAAAGGAATATAAATATACTGTATATGATGAAAAAATAAGACCGATCTGTGTTTGCTGGCCACAAATAACCTCAATGTCAGTTTTATAGCTGCAAAACCACAAACTAAATCAATTCGAAACCTGTTTTTTTATTCTGTTAGTTCTGCTGAAGCACAAAACAATAGTCTGTCTTGGCTGTCTTGGCCGTCCTGCCATGCCGCCTCTGTGGATTTGTAACACTTGAGGACAAAATGAAAAGCACTCCAGATTCTACTTTGGGAAGCACTGCATTAATCAGTGAGTCACAATCTGGTCCTCTGTGTGTTTTGATCAGGAGGCATAGCTTGACCTTGGCTTGAATAAAGACAAGAAGAAGCCTTAATGAGTTCTATACAGTCAGTGTCTTTGCCCAACGCCGCTGAGTCCAAACTGGGGCTGTGCATTCCCTATGGCTCCTCACAACACAATGGAGCAGTGAAGTCCCGCCCACTTTGCTCTGATTCCTGAACTCAAATATGAAGAGTTTGAAGCAAGCCCTGCCGATCCAAGATGGGGCCCTATTCAAATCAATGGCTTGTGCTCAGTTGCGCATGGGACATACACGGGGGTCGAAAGATTAGCGGAACTCGCCCATATTTGGGAATCGTCTGGTCCTTCCGGTTTTGTGCAGTGGATGAGCTCCCATGATGCATTGCACCAAATAACGCGTGTGTGGCTCTTATAGATGTGCACACAGAAGCTTGGCCGCGCTTTGACCAATCAGAGCTGCTGAACAGAGCAGAGTTAGGGAGGAGTTAGAGAAGGAGACGATCGAGCAGAGTTTGTGGCACTGAAGTGTGGATTTAAAGAAAACCGAAGGGACACTAGAAATCCCACAGAATCCGATCTTTATGAAAGCTGTAGGTTCTCTGTCAGCTGAGGTCGAGCTGTTTTAGTTTACATTCAGTTTTATGGGGAAAATGTCTGCGTAGCCCACATGAATTTAGTCTTGTTTAGTCTGCAGTACCGCGAGAATCCCCCGGGCAAGTGGGTCCTTCAGCTCCAAGCTCGTAATACCCTATTCAGATACTATCATAGATCCATGGTTTGAAGGCAGAGTAAAGTTTGTTTCCCCACCATGGCGCATTCAAATGTAAACTTCTGCAATTTGAGTAAGTGTGTGTGTTATTTTGCTGATCTCGTTGGAGTGCTCCTTCTGTTCCTACTGTTCTTTAATGTACTCAGCTCTGCGGTACAGCTCGACCAGCCGGGCGCTTCTACAGTCTGTTAAATGCAGATTATAGGAGTAAATCAACTCTGCTTACTGCGAGCCACTGCAGACGCTTTCTGTTTTCTCTGCCTGGTTTTTTAGCTGTCCAATGAAATGTGACACGTAAACACACAACTTATGAAAACCTCACTGTTTGAAAAAAACGATTGCAAAACGACGAACGTTTCAAATCTAATCTAATTGTATGTGCCTATACAGTACTTCAGGGCTATTCAGCTTATTTCACCACCAAATACTTCAAAGGAAAAAAAAAAATGCTCCAGGTAGCTTCCCATGTTGCTCTAATTGTCCAGTTTGCGATTGTTTTATTCAAGAATCTAATCTTTGATCGCTTTTTCTTGAGCTGAGGGCCGGATAAGTTTGTGGATTGTTTAGGGGCCTGATTCGGCCTCCAGGCTTCAACACCAACCCTGCTAAGAATAAAAATCCTGAACAAAAGGTGCTTAACTAAGTGTTTTTATTGCTCAATATAAACTACATTGAGATTTAAATATCCTATAAGAATGCTCAACCATTTTTAAATTTGTTTTTTTTGCTAATAATAATTTAGCTAACAATAATCTCACCCATGCGAAACCAAAAGTGATTACAAAATAACAATATTACGTGCGTCTATTTAGAATCAAAACCAGTGTATTGTCAGTAAACACCAGTGGGGGCGGGTCCCGGCTCAAAAGTTTCCAAAATAACGTGCGCTGACATGCTTGCAATACCACCCTGGGCCGATGGGGGTGGACCTGGAATAAGAATTTACCAATGCTAACATATAGCATTAGCTGATCTCTCGAAAACGTCTTTACAGGATGGTCCAAAAGTTGGCTCTTGGCCCAAAGCTCCGTTCCACATGTGTGTCAATGCTGAGGGGGGTGGATTTTTTTGGACCAGTCTAGCTTAGTCGCTGTGAAATTTTGAAGGCAGGGTTGACGCATGCGCAGATGCATTTTTTCACATTTTCCAGCCCCCGCGGCCATTTTGAAACTGCCCATAGACCGCGGAAGTTGTGGCACATTAGTTACGGCGGAGCTAGGCAAAGGTAGGTTAATATTTACAGTCTATGGTACACACACAGGCATGTAATCTACTGCTCAAGTGACTATTATAATTGTATTTATTTACTTTTTTCTAAATGTTATGGAATGCAGTGTTATACTCACACAATTACCAGTTTATTCTGAATTCGGCCATTGTATCTCTCCACATTCAATGAACAAACTGGGGTTAAGTGCACCATACATTTGCGTCTGGTGTGATCGGTGTGGGTCTGTGAAGGTGCAGGTCTGTGAAGGTGCGGGTCTGTGGAGGTGTGGGTCTGTGGAGGTGTGGGTCTGTGGAGGTGTGGGTCTGTGGAGGTGTGGGTCTGTGGAGGTGTGCTGAGCCCGACAATGACTTTCACGTGGACTTTAGTGAATCAGATCGATACGAGCCACATCTACTGTTGCACCGTCCGTCACTTCCATTCATATCGTTATTACCTCAGCGCACGACGACAAATGCAGGAATTAAATGCAGGAATATTTTAAGTAACACAAAATGGATATGTGTCGTACAGAGATCCAGACAACAAGTTGAGAAGTTGGAGGTGGGATAAAATGAACACGTAATATAATATAATGTAAGATAAGAAAAGATAGACCTTTTTTCGTCCCACAGCGGAGAAATTTCAATGTCATGGTTGCGTACATTACAGCGGAATTAAAAAAAAAAGGAAATAAGAGCCCTCAGGTTTTGCCCACATCAAACAGGATCTATTATTTAAGATGATAGATGATATAATAAAACAATAAGATTAAACTCTGGAGCTATAATTGCATTTGGTTCAAGTCACTTGCGGAGTTTGTAATAATAATAATAATAATGCATCAGTTTTATATATTACTTTTTTGGACTCTCACGCTTCACATTCACAGGGGTGATAAACTACAATTGTAGCCACATCTGCCCTGGGGCACACTGACAGAGGCAAGGCAACTAGGATATGGCATCGGCCCCTCTTACCACCATCCGCCATTCACACACACATTAGACTAATAGCGAACTATCTGAATGACGTCACTAAGACACGCCCCCGCCGCCTGTCAACTCCCGCCCACATGTTTCGGACAAACACTGCCAAAATGAATCAAATACCTCTTGTCACTTTAGACGAAAATGATAAACCAGGGGCAAAATTCCACCATCAAACCATCAGGGATCATAGTGTAGACCAATTAAAACGTTGGCTTGAATGTCGTGGTCTTCCAGTAACTGGTAGAAAGTTTGATTTGATAAAAAGGTAATGGTGAGGATTATGCTAAACATTATCTAGTCATTTAAATTGCAATGTTAGCGCCTTCTTTGTTTATTTTGCTCTGATTAACTTCCATTTATCAAGTTGTTTTTTGTACTGTCCATTTCGTAATTAGTTTGATCATTTAGTTAACTACAGTCAGCCGATATTATAATAGATCCATGGGGTCACAACGGGCTACACCACTACTGTCTCTGAGAGAGAAACTATCGGAGCTAGCCACACTCAGTAAACGCAAACGACAATCAATCAACATATTTAAATGTTAATGCTAGAATATAATATTCATAACAACACACGTGCACAGAGGTTTTCAGAATTATCTGTTAAGGTTTTCATGACAAAAATACTTTTTTAATGCGACTAAAGCGATCGCTTTTTTAAAGTAGGTGAACTAAAACCTTTGGGAACTATTTTGTTTGCACTCATTAAATAAACCTTTTGGCATGAATAGTGACAGAAGTTTATTTTGTGTGTTCAGTTGGTACAAAGCCGTATAATAAGCGGACCCCAACGCGCTTCGTCTGTGCTTATTTTCCGATAGTCACGAAGTTGAAAAAATCCCTCTCATCTTTCTTCAGGTGTGAGAATTGTATACATTCTGGATTAGGACAAACAATACTAATATGGATTGATGGGGCTAACTACATTCAGAAGAGCTCAGACGGACCTGATACAGCGGTCCAGGTCCAGTCCCAGCTAAACGTAGCTAGGACTGGATCTGGAGGCTCCACAGTTGGTCCAGCGAAGTGTTTTGAAAAAACATGTCCTTTTTAACATTTTCATGAGAGAAATTCTGCTGACCACAAGCACCCACCTCTTGCACTTGTCCTGGTCTGGTCCTGGTCTGGTCCTGGTCTGGTTCGATGGTGTGGTTTAACGAACAGGTTGAATGTTACTGCTTTCATATAGTCCTTTTCAGAGTATCTGAAATCGCTCCCACAAGCACCATAACTGCAGTGTTTTGTTGTCACCATGATTCAATGATTTAGCCCAAATAAATACACACGCTTATGTGGAGAACACAGTAGTACTCAACGGAGTCGGACAGAGTTTGTCCGAAACATGCGCGCATGCGCAGTCATTGGAACTATTTTTAGCACATTTCGGAAACCGGACAGTGCCCTATTCTAGGCAATATGGGTGAAGTGTCTTGCCTAAGGACACAGCAACAGTTCAGCACTTTACAGCCGCAGCCGCCCCAATGTGGCACCTGGTGTTCCCAGAAGTCTCCCATCACAGTATCAATCAGGCCCTGCCCCCACAGCATTAGAGGTTTGACAGGATCTGGCTTTCGCATGCAAGTTTGGCCACCATAATACAGCCGGTACAGTGACTTGTGGATGTACAATTGAAAGTATTGAAACAAAAAGCAACTATATAGATTCAGGCGTTGCGAGTGACTAAGCACATAGATTATTAGCCAAGGCTGAGACATGACCCAAGGTTTCAAACATCTTCTCTGTGTGGACTCTTGGGGCTGTTGGATTCACAAGAAATTTTTTTGTCTTGTCAGCTGTGAAGAATGGGTGTAACGAAATTGGCAGTAGTCCGGGGCATGTCCCAAGCAGCATTCATGTCTTAAATATAAACAGCCCCACCAAGCGCTACCAATAAACTAACACTGACTCTTAAAGCTGGGGCCCCTAACTTTCAAACCACACACACAAAACATGGCTCTCAAATTAAGTGGACAGTGGTGATGATCCAGGACATTCAACAATATTTATGTGTAAATGTGAATGTATATGTAATAACCGTTTTTTCCAACATGCTGGTCCTGGACTGGTTCTGGTCTGGTTTTCGTCCAGCGAAGTGACCATAGTTGCCATAGAAGCATGTGCTTTATTTGCTGCAGAATTTGGGTGCCCTTCAACAGTTTGTTGCTGTAATTCAAGTTATAATGGAAGCACACAAATCAATTCAATTAAATGTATTTGTGTATAGCCCTAAATTACATAACGGCAGTTATCTTGGAGGACTTAACAAAAGCCGTTGAATTTGCCAAAACAGATCGGAGAATTAAAAATTTCAAGCACAAGAAATGCTATGATAAAAAACACATAGACCCTCCTGCATCCGCAAAGAACAACTCTAAAACCCAGTAGGAAAAGGTCAGAAACCTTGAGGAGGCCCACATTGAAAGAACCCACGCACTTTGAACACTCATTAAAAGTGTGTAATTGTAAACCCTTTTAATGGACGTACTTTTAATAAATCTGGAAGAAAAAAAACAGAGGAATTTCTAGGAACTCCATTGGTCTTAATGCAAAAAATTACGTCTCGTGAGTTCTTGTAGTTTCAGAATTCTGGCAGTCCTAGTGTTAAGCATTCGTAGGCTGGTGAGTGCCTTGCCCAAGAGAAAAAATGGAAAGTAATGGAAAGACTTGCATTTTGAACCACAAAACCACCACTAACACCTGATATCTGTCGTCTTTGAGATTATTCATGAGAGAAATGTTAGCATCACAACCTCTCCGCACAGAGCGAAGGTGAACAAAGTGTGCATTACAAGAAACAACATCACGAAACCCAACCGCAAACATATGCCGTTAGTGAACAACCTCATATTTCTCACAATATCATTTCAACATCCTCAATTTTCAGACCACAAATCCCCCATTACCACCTTTCTTCCTCTGTATCCTCCCCATTAGCATTTCCATTTTCATTAAAATCTCCATCGAAAACCACACTACAATTTGCCTTCTTTGCTTTCTCACAGATTAAACTACATTTCTCCCTGTAACAGAAGGAGCAAATGCTTAACTTTGAGTGACCTATTTTTTTCTGTTTGAAGATTTTTAGGCTGAACCCTCACACTGACACAGCTCAGTGAGACGGCAGAAAGAGGAGGAAGAAGGCAAAGCCGTATCTCCAAGGTCGCTCCAGAGACACGCTTGTCCTGAGTCCTTGAACTCCCCTCGAGAAGGCCTGCTCCTCTGTTTTTTTTAAAAGTAATTGATGCCAAAAATCCATTATTGTATGAAAGCCACAAAATGGGTGACTTTGAAAAGGACACAGACAAATCTGGTTTGTTTGGGGTTTTATACAGATTTGTTGATTGTTGGCTTGGAAGCTCCTGTAAAGTTTATTGCCAATTTCTGAGAGAATAATCCAATTGATGAAACATGATATGCAAATTTGTACAATTATGATGCGCTAGATCGATTTAATTAGTCATTTTTGGCAGTGGTACTGTTTATTTTACTAAAAGCGTCATTGAAATATGTTGCAATAAGTGGGGTATTAGATTAAATTACCTTTTCCCAAAGTTTAAACCATCAACTTTGTCAGGATTTCTCTCTATCCGTCTATTATCTTCCACTATATCCGTTGCCGGGTGGCAGAGGCAGCAGTCTGAGCAGAGACTTCCAGATTTTCCGATCCGTGCGCATGTATTACTTTGAATAGCTTGCATTGTTGCTTTAAACAAGGTGCTCCGCTCTGCAAAGAGGACTGTGGGATGTGAGCCTCCTGTTCTGGAGGTTCTTTATAAATCCAGACTTTTAAACCGAGCTCTTAGAACTATCAACGACCCTTCTGGCCACCCTGGAAAAGCCTTGTTCCAGCTTCTTCCTTCTGGCAGAAGATATCGTTCTCTGAGATGCAGGACATCTCGACATGCTAACAGCTTCTTCCCACAAGCTGTTATACGTTTGAACAGAGCACTTTAATGATCTTGCACTTTGTATTCTGTCTTAGCCGATCGTTTTCACAGTGACAATTGTTTTACTGTTTTATTTGTATTTTTTTCTTTACTTTTAATGTTGTTTTATGTCTGTACTTGTGCACACTGAGGACTTTTGCTAATGAATTCCAATGTGGTTTACAAATGGCATATAAAATGAATCTGATCTGAAGTATATTTTAGTTGGAAGGTGCAAGTGCGAATACAATTCTAAGGGAAAGAAGCCATTTTTGAAAGAAATGTAGAAAAATAAACAGTACAAATGTTTTCCCAGATCATTATCCAAAAGGGAATCTCAAATTTTTTGCAATCCTGTATTTGAGTTCTCCCTTCGTTCTAAATTCATGACAGCGAAGTCCTATCATTCTCTTGTCAGAAAGTGGCCAACATCATACATATGTTTTTCCCACCTGATGTGTACTAACAAAGAAAATGTGGAACTTTGTGCCCGTTTTTCTTGTATGTGGATTGGCCCAGGAAATTAGCTCTACACTAAGCCTAGAACGAATGATTTCTAGATTACTGTAAATAATTGTGATAAATGATAATTCACACATTACTACTGACAGAAATGCATTAAAGCAAGATAATCCATTGAAGCAATTATTCAATTATCAATTTATATTAAAAGAATCAATCAATCATAATTTTTCAGATGTCCATATCACACAGTTAAAACGCAACAACAATAACACAGACAAACAAAAAGTAAATATTAAAGTCTGTATTGTCACTTCTCTACACAGAAGCTGTTTGAGCATGAATTATTTAATATTCCTCGGTCCTCTTTGTGAACTATCGGGCTAAAACTTTAGCTAAAACTGCAGAACATTTGTCCACTTTGGCAAAGGAAATGTACACATGATAATTGCTGAGGCCCGAAATATATAGTTATATCCATCAGTTACTGAACAATAACCTGATATGGTAATTACTGTGACTAGTCTTTTGTATTTGCCTCCCTTTGTCTTTCCTGCACTTAATAGCAGCCATCAAGAAAAGCGGATGTTGTACTGTTAGCTGTTTGGGTAATTGTTTTTATATGTTCTGTGAGTGATGGCCCGGATTGGGTTGTAGGGAATATGCCAACAAAAGCACTGTTCTTCGAGCCCAATTACAAATTTGCTTATATCAAAATTCATTTCCCTTTACTTTGCTTTTAAGCGGAAACCAAAGTCATATGGCGCTCCAGGGAGTTCACACATAATTCCATATCACACGCGTTCTGGACTTTTTAACACTAGGGCTTCCCGGAATGATGAAATTACTAGAACTCCCAGAGCCGTCGTTTTGACTGCTCCAACGGAAACCAATGGAATTCCAAAAAATTCTCCCCAAATTCTCCTTTTTTTTAACCTTAACTCAGAGCTAACTTGAAATACGGCTAAAACAGTTTGTAGACAGCATTAGCTACCAAATGCTATCTGCTGGCAAGTAAACAGTGCGTTGCTATGGTAACTACGGTAACTAACGGCTCACGTTTCAAAAATAAAAGATAATTTCAGAACAAATAATGCCGTAAAAATAAACTATGTAAAGAAACTGAAAAAGTCACAAGGTTATAAAGCCCAAACAAATACTTTCAATTACAAAACTAAAAGCCGTCAAATGGACTGCTTTGGAAGTTCTCCTGTTAAAGAATCATGAATGGTAGTGGTCGGAAACTAGTGTTCAATATTCCACCAGGTTTTCTTATTTATTTTTCTGTGAATAATTGTTTGTATACCTTGTACATGTTTGAAATAAATAAACAAATGAGACATTAGAATGAGTTTTTTTTCTTTTAACCTATATTAAGAGCTTAGACTAGTGTATATAACTTGAAATACAGCAAAAAATAAAAATAAACGCTACCATCTGCTAACTGCTGGCAAGTAAACAATGTGTTTCTATAGTAACTACAGTAACTGACTGCTCACGTTTCCAAAATAAAAGGTAATTTTATAACAAATATTGACACACAAAAAGTCACACAGTTATAAAGACCTAAGTAATTTTACTTCCAAAACTAAAAGCCATTTAAATGACTGCTTTGGGAGTTTTAGAGTTAGAGAATGTTGAACGGTAGTGGGTTTCTATGACGATTGCTCCAAAACAGCATCCTGCCAACTTAATTACAGCTCTATTTCCATAATCTCTCAGAGCATGTGTCCACACTATTCTGAAAGCATCTCCAGGTGCCTCCACATTGATTTTGGTTGTATTTGCTTGCGGTAAGCTTCAAAAAGTTTTCTACAAACAACTTGAATATACTCCATAAAAGCTGTTTTCAAGAAGCAGCAGCAGAGTGAGGATATTTTGGTGCACATAAAAATGGAGCATAATCATAAAACTCCACATTGTAATTTGCCGATTTCTCCTAGATCTCAATAGAAATGAACAGGTTACAGTTCAAACCAGACTTTGCAAAAGAACAGGAGTGCCATAAGTAGAAAATGTACAGCATGAGTGCAAGTAAGCAAGTAAATAAGTCATATTTATGCATATGGGGCATTTTACAGACCAAGGTTACCAAAAGTGCTTTGTTGAAAGTTTAGAGTGGATGCACGTTGAACGATTTGCCAGCATTCAATTCAGATGCCCATTCACATAAATGTCAAAAGGGATGTCAAAAATTTAACAGAAACATCTCCATGAAGTAAACATGTACCAGAAAATGACCTCTATTCACATAAACATTCGTCTCAGAACATAATCTGGAAAGAAATCTTCACCAAACCTGGAACTGTTTCTTTGCACAACATATCCATGAGGTAAACATAAACACTTTATGTGAAGCACCGTACGGCACAGTTCTGGCAACGTCCCAAAGAAAAAAGGCAGATAATTTGTCATGGCTGCGCTCACTTAAACTAGGTGTCAAGTAAGCCCTGAACAGTCCTTTTCCATTCTGAGGATTCGCTTCCAGCATTGATAATACAATGATTTGGCTACCCTGGCATGTTATACCTCATTTTCTTCTCTAATTAGAAAGTGTTTTTTCAACCTACAAGCATTCTTCGTCTTCAGTTCAATTGTGGTTCAATCCAAACAAACAGTAACTGAAATACCAGAAAAAAATGTCCAAACTCGTGTTGAATGAATTAATGTAATCCTTTTGTCAAAATAACTTCATAATATCACAAATAACAGCCCTAACCCAAACATAGAGGGTATCTACAGATGCAAAAGATTAGCTTAAATTTTCATATCAAGATTCAGTTTCATTGCCATTTGAAGTTTTTTTTTTTTCAAGATCCAGTTAAATTTGGCCCCCGAATTAAAAGAAGGGAGCGTTTGAGTCAGGGTTTGAATCGATTTAAACCCGTGACATAAACTAGGTGCAGTTAAAATACAAGAAAATTCCACGTACATCCTGTTTTTCTTTTTTTTGATTTAGGGCTCAAAAGCACACAAGAAAAACACCCCAGACGATAGACATTTATTTCTCTTAAAACGCCCTCCTCATTGACTCCTGAGGGTTAAAAGCCTTACCTGCGTTGCGTAGTTTTCGGTTTCGGAGAACAGCCACTATTACCAGCAGGTTTCCCAGAACATCGACCACCGTGGTGAAGATGAGGACAGCAGCCAGAGTGTACACGGCCCAGACCGGACGCCCCAACGCCCGGGTCGCCTTGGGGCCATGGTCCAGGGAGTCCATCTCACCCTTCTCAGCACCCATCACTCCCTCAAATAAATGCTTTCACCAAATGTCATCACATCCCGATGGTCCTTCAAACGCGGCAAGATGTCCGATATAAGTCATTTCTCCTCCAAATTTTTGGGGCATTTGTCGGAAGTTCAGCTGTGGATTATTTTAGTTTGAGTTTTGAGGCTGCTTCTTGGTAGTCTTCAAAGTTCAACATGTTTGCTGTTCTCGATCTTTGCGTTATAGCCATGGAGTTAGCCTTAGACGGTTTAAAACAGTTTCTGCGCAACCCATTGAGAAATACTAAATGGAGATCTCAATTTTTTGTTTCCTGAGTATTTTTTTGAAAGCTGCAAAAGAGGAGTAATAGACCCATGATTGCAATAAATACAGGTTGAAACATAAACAGATTGTGTTAAGAGTTTTTTTCGTAATGTCTTCAGTCTTCATTAAAAATAAAAAAAGATTTTAAAAAATGCAAGTATCTTTATGAATGACACCAACGGTAGCTCGGATATTTTCAAGCTCGGCTAAAAAATGTCATCTCCAAATGCCAGGCAAACTGGAATGCGTTGCTGAAATACCACATCCTCGGATATGACAGCCGCTTCCTTCTTCAAAATACTCGCTGGGATAAAGTCAAGATAAGTCTGGGATGAAATGAGATTCCGGTTTGACATTTTACCTTTTTCCACTCTCACGTGAAAAGTCTTCCGTTCTTGACCAAACCTTTTAATCAGGCAAAGTCTTGGTTGCTGCCTGTCTGTGTTGACTTTGGCTTTTGTCTAATCTAGAACTTATTTTTCTCATCTCGTAATTACAGTTTCTTGCAGTGAAATCTCCCAAACTCCTTTTATTTGATCACTGTCTTTAATCAGTCCCCTCAAACATTATTCTACCACACCCCTTTATAGCTCAGTCCCCACTGGTCCCCTCACGGCATTATAAACCTGCATAACCTACTTCTCGCCCTATAGCTTTTTTTGTCTGTATCCCTCAAGCAACCTCTTCTCGTCTCAGACCCCTTTCTCTTTGGAGTCCTCCTCTGTTTGAATGTTCTTCTTTAGAGTCCAGCACAGTAGTTGCAAATTCCCCCAAACTCAATCTTCCCGAAGCTGTATGGTCCAGCTTGATGTGGTCCGTGTCCATGCCTTGACTTGTGCTTCTGTCATCGCGGCTCTCTCGTCCTTTTTCTCTCACTCGCACGCCCATAGATGGTGTCCCCGCATGCTCTTGTGTATCTCCCTGTGAGCGTCCCCTTGCACTTGCTTCCTCTCTCCTCTCTCGCTCTGTGTGTCTGGCTTTCCCTCACAGAGGCATCGGTGGTGGAGACAGGATCCGGGTCCCGCCCACTGGCCCACGTGCTGCTCTTTGATGCTCGGAGCTCATTCACTCACACGCTGTTTACAGATGTACTGCGAGTGGGCGGGTGTAAACACGCAGGGGGCCACTCTGCTAATGATGGGAGAGTGTTTCAGCTGCAATGAGCAAAGAGCTACTCACAAGTTCCAGGGTGAAAACAAAACCAGCGATGCAGCGGTCCAGTCGTCTTGTGCACATGTGTGGAGAGAGTGATAGTGGTTCAGTCTGGCTTTAGCTTTCATGTCACTTTCAAGATTTCACGGCTTTGGAGAGAGTGTTACAGAGTCTTGCATTTGATTCTTTGGACAATCCTTTAGGGTTAATCTGCATAAATCTATTCAGTTCAATTCAATGTGTTATTGTAAACCCCTAAATCACAACAGTAGTTATGTCAAAAATAGTTAACAAAACCATTGAATTCGCCAACACAGATCAGAGAATCCATCTATGGTTCAAACACAATAAATGCAATGATTTGGACCAATGGCTCCAATGTCCATAAATGTTGATAAATGTTTATAATTGTTGTTGAATGTTGAGTGGATCAATCAGTCCTTTTAGTTAGACCCAGATAAGGGTCCATCAGACCCTCCTTCCTTTATCCAGGAACTTTCCTGGATAAATAAGATTAAATAAAAAATCAAAAGATATCTCAGTTTTTTGAAAACGTGAATTCTCCAAGCCACAATCTTCAACATGTGTTGTTATTGGCAGTGCATGTGAAAGGATTTGCTCAAGAAGGACTGAACCTTAAAATCGACCTGGCTTTTCTAAAAACTACTTGGTGAAGGGCAAATTGCAATTCAAATATACTTTATCTGTTAATGCAAAGAAACTATTCATACAAACAATCTATCCATCTATGTGATCATGTTTCTTAAAGAAAAATACTGAGATGTATGACTCAGCTGAATGTGGTCATTTTAAACAACACTATATCCATACTGCATTACATATTCTCTGGCTAATTATAGGAAAGTCCAGAAAAGAGCAGAGGTTGTAATTTAAGAACTTAAACTCAACAACTGAGACACAAAATGCCCTTGTTTACATCTTACATCCTCACCTTGGATCATTGAACCTGATCCCACACCAACAGACTGTATATAGGGATGGGCAGAGATGACCCATAGTTTGCTGGAGCTGAATATAGGGAGCTGTTTCTGGGCAAAAATTGCAATTTTACTTGGCACCCTTTCACTTTTATTGTTAAGTAAAACACCTATTTCTCTGGACTTGTATTTTTTGTGTAATTGTGAGTTTTATGAATATTTTTGTGTGGACGCCAAGTCTCTCTCTTTTTAACTGAACACATAATCTACCCATGGGTACAATTAAAGTCACCTTGAACCTTAAACCTTGTCATTGTAAATCCAGATAGAATTAATGATAACGAACCAAACAGGTGCCTTCCATGCCAGAAATCATGGTTTGGCTACGAATAGCGTGAGCAGGAATAGGCTGAACTTGCTCCTGATTGGCTCTTTGGTTGCTTTGATGTTGCTATGAGAGAAGTTGGCTCCAAGTTCCTGGCCCTACAACTTCCGTCTTCTTCCAATAAAAGCCATTATTCAACTCCTATCATATAGTCATTATCCACTATACAGTCGGTGAGCAACAATTCTTTCTCCTTACTATTACACACATTTCAGAGTAAGTATTTGAGAGGTCTTAGCCGAGGGGGATTCTGCCAAACAGCGATTCATTCTGGCACTTTTTTGTTAATGAGTGTATATATAAAAAATACTGTTGCATTCACTATTATATGCATGTCTACTTGACGGAATACTTAATGGCTTCTTCGAGACTTCAGGTCAGCTACAGTCGGACCTGAAAAGTTTGACTTGAATGAGGAGAAAAATGTGCATTGTGCAGATGTAGAGGCTTATGCAGCTCTTTATAAACCAGAGCCATTGTTCTTACAAAGCCCTAAAGGAAACTGTAAAAGTGGAACAAAAAAGCAAATGTGAGTGCTGTAGAAAAGTGCGACCCAGTTTGAGAAACCCCACCTGCCAGAGTTTAGAAATAATATGTGTTTACCGTTTATATTAGTTTTAAATGGAACTTATCTGGAAAAGTTTTGTTTTGGGATTGTGGTTTTAAGTAGACTCACCTGGATTAACTAATAATGCAATAAATGACATGTTGACAACTATTCAAGACGATTACATTTGTACAAACAAACGTCCACGTCACAACACATCCATTGTAATTTAATACGTTTTCACCTGCACATCTGTTTCGGATGTCAGCACAAATTGTTGCGGTAAATCACACAAGTTTCCACTATACAGTACATGTAAGTGAGACGTAGCAGACTTCAAGAGGTCCTGCTCAGACTCAACACCGGGGGTGGTTTTGCTGAGGGAGGGGCTAAATCATGCCCTCGCAGCCACTGGAGGAAAGTCACATGAAGTACAAATGGTGAAAAAGCTGGTAACTGCAGGGCATAGATACAGTATATTATTATCATAGGTGTTTACACATTTACCTGAAGAGGAGAGATGGAGGATATTTGAATAGTTTTACACAGACAGTGGACACAAGCACCATATGGGAATCACATTAGCCTACATTATTGCAGCGATTGGATAATGTGCTCTTCAGCTCCACTGACTCTACAGACACAAGCTTCTGAGTGTTTTGGGGGGACTCGGCTCGTCTTTGTGCAGAGGTAAAATCTGTGCTGTTTGCTCAATGTTTAATACGTTTGAGGATCTAAACCTATTTCCCCATTCAGCTTTCTTCTTCATGTTTGTGTGTGTGAGTGGGAAAGATGTATAAGGGAGAGAGAGAGAGAGAGACTGAGAGATACTGAGATAGAGAGCCAGAGAAAGACTGAGAGAGACTGAGAAAGACAGAGACAGAAAGAGATAGAGAGAGATGGAGAAAGAGATAGAGACAGAGAGAGAGAGACACACACAGAGAGAGATAGAGGCAGAGACAGACAGAGACTGAGAGAGACGGAGAGAGAGAGAGACTGAGAGAGAGAGACAGAGAGAGATAGAGACAGACAGAGAGAGACAGAGAGAGAGAGGCAGAGACAGACAGAGACTGAGAGAGACGGAGAGAGAGAGAGACTGAGAGAGAGAGACAGAGAGAGATAGAGACAGACAGAGAGAGACAGAGAGAGAGAGGCAGAGACAGACAGAGACTGAGAGAGACGGAGAGAGAGAGAGACTGAGAGAGAGAGACAGAGAGAGATAGAGACAGACAGAGAGAGAGAGAGAGAGAGGCAGAGACAGACAGATACTGAGAGAGACAGAGAGAGCCTGAGACAGACAGAGAGAGAGAGAGAGAGAGAGTGGGGTTTGCTTTTCTTCCTCAGACAGGCGCATGAGCCTATGTGTTCATGATCACAAATGCAGCCTAAATTGTTTTATTTAATTATTTTTTCATTTAAGGGAAAACAAATCCAGAAAATTGCAAAACAGGATAATGACAGACAAAATACAGAAGATAATATTGAAAATGTACAAAATAAAAACAAAAAAATAAAAATAAATAAGAAACTAAACACTTTGGGACTTTATTATATACTGTACTTGCACATGTACACATGCGGACCCAGATAATGTTTACTACTTACATCACCCCCATATGAATATAAATAATATATATATATATTTATATATATATTTTGTCTACTGTATCATGTGCTGCTATGTTTC